TTAATCAATCCATAAAACCAACTAGCTTTCTTTAGTTTTGCCCATCTTTTTGAGCTTAAATAAAACACTTGCCAGTCATCTTAAGCCCCCACCAGATTCTGTACCAGACTCTAATCAGGAATATGAATAATTTCTACTACACAATATAAATAAAGGATTGCCACTAAATTTGAGTTTGTGGTTTGAAACTTCCCTTCGCATGTTTTAAATCTAACAATGAATGCTATAGTTTTGCTTCACATATCGGACCGTTTGTTTCTTTCACTACCCTTTTGTGGCAGGTGAAAGCTTTACCGTCTGCCGGCTGCTGGAAGTTGATGTAGGCATATCCAAGAGATCTGCGGGTAATGATGTCCCGGCATACACGGATCGACATGATGGGTCCAGCAGGAGAAAACTTTTGATAAAGCATTGCCTCTGTAACATCAGGGTGCAGGTCCCCAACATACAAAGAGGCAAGAGGATACGTTGGTCCGCTGCTGTTCATGTTGCGTAACTGCTGGATCAGAAAAAAAGAAAAAGAAAAAAAAAGGTTATGGATATTTGGTTGCATTGTTTGTTTTCTTTAAGCAAACTACTACCAAGTGTTTCACTGCAAATTCAGCGTTTAATAACCTAGAACCAAACATGGTTACACTTTCACACTTTTTCTTAAATGCTTGTCCAAACATTTGGCAGGCTTTTATAGCAACAGAAAACACTTTACAAGTTACCAAAGCTGGAAGTTCTTATTCCCCTAAAAGACAAATCTAAATGCAGAACAGCTAAAATTTAACATTTCTATGATTACATATCCCATAGCATACCTCATCTAAAACATGTGTTTGCATTGAATTGTATAAGGAACAAAGAGAACCAATTGGGAAACTAAAATTATAACATCAAAAATAAGATATTCCCACCCAAACGTGTATAAAGGAAGATCTGAACAAGTGATTCTCATTTTAAAGATACCTATGATATATTTCATGTGTTTATTTCTGTCAATTTATTTTATTTTTTTTTTAGATATGGTAGCTACTAGCTTGAGGGTTCTTGGGAGTTTGCCTAACCCGTTTTGGTAATAAATATTTGATTATTTTCTGAAAGTTATGTACCTTTTTTCATCTTTTTTATCATTTAATGGAGGAAGAAAAAGCTAAATCGGCTCAAAGAATCGGCCAAAAATATTGGCAACAGACTGAAGTTAAAATAATCGTCACCAGTCTTAATTAACCTGTATCAGTCAATCTCTAGTGAGAAGCTCGGAGTAGAATCGCTTCTCCACATCGAGAGGAGTCAGCTGAGGTGGCTCAAACACTGGATGACCCCTGAAACGCCTCCCTCAGGAGGGGTTTCTGGCACGTTCCACCAGGAGGAGGCCAAAGGGACCATGGGGAAATTGTGTCTTTTGGTTGCTGCTGGTACACCTCATTCTTCTCTTAAGGAGCTGAGAAGACGTGTGAGGAAAGTCTGAGTGTCTCTACTGAGACTGCTGTCCCAAAGACATGATCCCAAATAAGCAGTGCACTATGGGAACGAACACAAGCTAAAACGCTATGTCAAACTATTAGAATGATTGCAATTGTATGAGAAATTAATCTAAACTATTTTAATGCATTGAGGCATATCCTTATTTCTTTAGGCGCTCTGAATCCGGTGAACTCTTAACAGATTTCCAGAAAAACTGGCCGACTGAAGAAAGAATGTTTTGAGGGCTACATTGAAACAACTGATTGATTTGATTTTCTCTGTTTTAATACATAATTTCAATTTTGTATTGACTCTTAGCAAAGTTCCAGAGCTTCCTCTCAAGATGGACAACTTTTATTCTGCCTATGGATGCACAAATAAAAGGAGACTGCAGACCAGACCCAGTGGAATTACCTTTCATTATTAGGATTTTATGATAGATTATCCTCCTGTTTCAAAGTTACTTTTTTTGTGGTGCTGATAAATAATAATAAAAAAAACAGCTTGAAAAAGAGTTTTGGTAGAAGTTTAGACAAACTTCTAAAGTACAAAAACCCTTTAGTTACATAGTTAGACACAACATAAATTTACCATTCATCAAGATTTGACAAAACAGTCAAATACAAAAAAAAAAAAATAAAACTTATTAATTGAAATGAATACAAAATAACTTTACTCTCTTTTGTATATCTCATTACTACTATGTTTCCCCTATCGATAATAATATTCGTTATTCTTAAAAATACTATGTATATTAAAAAAAATAATATAATGTTAGAATATATTAGTATAAATCTGTATCATATTGATATTTAATAGCAAAATATATAACTTTGTATACATTTCATCCAGTTTGAGTTCAGTTAAAACAGTTTTTAATCTGAATAAATATGTGGAACTGAAATATTTTTTTTAAATGTGTTTTGTTCTTTTAAGTGGTTGTAACTTATAAGAGATTATTGTAGTATCATCTTTTACTAGTCTTTCACGTGATTAAAATTAGATCGAAGCCGCCTAAGGCGCCTCCTATTCATTCTGAGAGCAGCAGTCTGATCTGTGGTCTGACCCAAGATGGCCGCCCCCTGGGCACATCGGCCTCACTGCCGACAGCGTCCAATGAGGCGTCTGTATATATATAGGTCTATCGGCACAACATGCAGGTCACAATACCCGAAACTGCATGGTGCAGATGCCTTCTAGAAATTTGCAGATTTATGGGAATCTCTTTATAAATACAAAATGTTAAGATGGTTTCAGTCACATCTTCCACCACCTGCCTTGATGCATCAATGCAGTAATTCATGCAAGCCCAGCAATGTATATTTTCTAACTTTCTTTTCTGTAGCACCGTGTCTATTAATCAAAAATTTCACCCAGCCATATATATACATTTACTTGTTAAACAGAGTGGGGGTGTTATCTTTTATATTCTAATTCAAGTTCAATTTAAACAAGGCACTTTTTCCCACCAACGGAGATGTAACCGCTCAGTAAGTATTTCAACATATAAATTGTTCCTAAAACAGCTAAACGCAACTACTCGATATGATCTGTTGGACAGAACATTAGTCAAATAAATAAAATTTCAAATTTAAGTGGGAAAAATTATGTGCCGACGCACCTAAATGTAGAAGCAGAGAGCTAAAACAGTTGCTACCTAAATTAGCTTACTCCGCCGGCGCGGGAACAGCTAGCGAACTGTTAAAGAACACATTTCTCTTCAATCACTAAATTATTTTAATACAGCTTGAATCCACTTACATTTAATACGGGGCTGTGAGTTTTTCAGCGCTGCAGCCTGTGAGCCCTTTCCATGTGAACCTCAGCTTGTTTTAATGATAATCGCCAAACACCTGCACGCTTCCTCCGCACGTACATGAGTCGAGGTGCGATAGGTCAAGAGGAGGTCACACTCCGCGATAAAAAGTAGTCCTTTTAGCTCAGCTTTGGATGGAACCAAAGGGAACCCCTCCATAATTATTAACCAACGTTTTATAATAAAACACTGAACAGAACGTTATTGTGAACAGAAATGAAGACGTAATTTGCCTCTTATCTTAAACGAAACTTTATTTCACTGAATGGTCTTTGACACTTTCCTATTTCTTACATGTATAGTGAAACTAGAATGGTTTTAAGATACATAAACACAAAGCTAGAATTACACCAACCATTGTTTATCTCCATTTCATCACTGCTTTTTTTTTAATAGCTATTCTAAATTTTCACAACCACGTGTGTGCACTGGGTAATAGACTGTTACAGAAGCAAATTTTAGCCATAAGACTTGTCAGTAAAAACAAAGCAAGTAAATACCTGATATACAGACAGGCTTCGTTCCACATTCACTAACTGCATTTTCATCAAGCAAAAATAATGAACTGACATTTTTTTTTATTTTTTCCCCAACAAAAGATTTCAATTTATTGGAGCATTGTCAGAGTAAACAAACCGCCAGCTATAACGTGGAATGGTGTCTTCAACTACAGTAATGTGGAATGTAGTGGTGATATCATGGTATTGTGACACTGAGCTTCTTTTCACCTTCTAAAACCTGATTCTTTTTTTTAAAGAGGCAATTATTCCCACCAGCCATCTTTTAACAGCTGAGAGATTCACCTTGGTAAAAACTGAGGTCAGGGTTTATTTTTGTTGTCTAACTCGTTCTATGAGATTTCAAACAAGCAGATGCTGCTATCTTGAAAGAAGAAAAAAAAAAATGCAGGAGGCTGCAAGAGAAAGCCAGGCACAAAAGCTTTTTTTGGGAGAAAACAACCGCTTTAAGAGGAATATTTTGCAAGCAGGGTTGATACAGTGTGGCAAGACATTTTCAATTAACATCAATAAAAGGTTACTTTAGGTTTTACATACAGATGATAGTCAATCTTGCAAAATACATGGAACCACATTTACGCATACAATTTTCATTGTACTGAGATCAAGCAGCACCAGAACAGTGAGAAAACTACAATGACAATCTATACTTAGTTCAAAAAAAAAAAAAAAGAAAAACAAAAAGGAGCACTGCTGTTTTCAAAAAAGCCTAATAATGTGGAATGTCTCATGTCCAAACAAATCTATCATGACAATTTAAGGGGTCCCTTACAACTTGAAAACTGAATTTGTGAACATGATCAAGGAAAATTACACCAAGATGTCAGTGTCACAATACAGCCTGCCTCCTTTCTGTATGAATCCACAGCAGAATTGCAGTTAACTGAATACAGGATCTTATGTGTCTGGAAATGCAAACACACATGTAAGAAAAAAAAGAAAAAAAAAAACTGTTTTTGGGGGTTGTGAAGCAAATGGAAAGCCTACCATCACAGTGTTTGGTGGAAATCAACTGCCAGTTTAATTACCATACATTAAAACCTGTAAATATCATGAAGAATCACAAATAAGTAACCCAAAAAAAAAAAAAGGGATGAAAAATGCACACCAAACTAGCTGGGACAAAGGAAGTTGGAAGGACGATTCAAATTCACAACACCCCCCTCCCCCCGGAATCGCACGCGCAATCGCTTCACAGTCACTCACACTTTCACGCTCACTACATACAGACCTACACACGAAGCTGACAAAAACAACAGCAACATGGACTCACTAATCAATACGACATGTCTCCACAAAGTGACTGAATCTGCTAACAACTGAAAAATTACCCTGTCACCTCACAGTGAACTGAGAGGGGTAAACTAGTTGGTCGGGAGCAATTCAGGCTGCTTGTCATACAGAAGTGGGAGGGGCTGATGGAGTGGAGGGGGGGAGGGAGGATGTATATAAGCTGTCTGTGTTTAAGATAAGAGTGTAGGTGGATTAACAGTGCAATTCCATTAGTTTTCCCCATCTCCGGTCTCGCCCTCATCTGCCTGGTTTTCTGATGTCCACAGCTGGAGAAAAAAAGAAAATAAAAAAAATAAATTATATGGTTTGATGAAAGTTATCAGGGACCACAGGATAATCCAACTGAGGAACTCACAGTCAGGTTGTCCCTTAGTAGTTGCATGATCAGGGTGCTGTCTTTGTAAGAGTCCTCGTTCAAAGTGTCGAGTTCAGCAATTGCTTCATCAAATGCCTGAAGAGGAAAAAAAAACATTCAAGCAATCACAATGTTGATACAATCCCAAGAATAATCACTAAATATAATTCCTTATTTGTGTAATACATCTAATGAGCTTAAAGTTGATTGCCGGTCAGTGTGCACACCTGTTATAGTGGGGGGAAAAAAGGTGAATTTTCTTACCGTTTTAGCCAGGCTACAGGCCTTGTCCGGGTTGTTGAGGATTTCGTAATAGAAGACTGAGAAGTTGAGGGCCAGGCCGAGCCTAATGGGGTGTGTTGGCTGCATCTCCCCCTTGCTAATGTCAAAAGCTTGTTGGTACGCCTGCTGAGAGTTCTCCACTGTATCTGTATTGGTGGAAAATGACAAAAATATTCAAAAAGGTTAGCTTAAAAAAAAAAAAAGGATGCAAAATTATCATTCTTACAGGCCTCAAAAAGCCAGCAGGTGGGATGCTAAGTTAAAATATCGTTTTTTTTGTCTATTCCATTAGTTATAACGTCAAAAATAATTTCAGCAAGTTGCTGCAAGCCTTGTAATTAACACTCATGGGCTTTTTAGCAAGTACTTTCCAGTTCTTGTCATAAAAGGTACAGTTTGGGTAAAATAGACTTTTACACATCAGAATTTTTATATTTGTCATTTTAATCATCCTTCCAATTTTGTGGTAAAATAAATGTTAACATATTGGTAGCCATAGGAATATTAATCCAATTACCCTTCTTAGTTTCCCCAGACGCAACCTCAGAAAGGTATCTATAATAGTCGCCCTTCATCTTCAGATAGAACACCTTACTCTCAGCAGCAGATGCATTGGCAATGAGAAAGTTGTCCAGTAGCCCCTGAAAGAAAAATCAACATACGAGATCACCAGTTTAGTATCACCTCCTCAAAAACATCTCAAGGCATTGATCTCACAAGTGTAAACCCTTACAAGCACATCATGGCAGATTTCCTGCAGTTCGGCTTCTATTTTCTCCCGGTATTCACGTGCCATCTGCTGTTTTTTGTCATTGCCCTCAGTCTTCTGCTCGATGCTGGAAATGACACGCCAGGATGAGCGACGTGCACCAACCACATTCTTGTAGGCCACAGAGAGAAGGTTGCGCTCCTCATTCGACAGCTCTGCACCTTGCTCTGTCACCGACTTCATGGCTGCAGCCATGTCATCGTAGCGCTCAGCCTGCTCAGCAAGCTTGGCCTTCTGTACCAGGTCGTTCTTATCCATTTTCTAGACTGTTGAATAAAAAAAGAAAAGAGGTGGTAAGTTTTACAGATTGACATGTGAACAATGCAAATGCTTATCCATATAGTGAGCTCAGTTTCCTATTGAACAACTCAAACTTTGCTGTAAAAAACGACCATATTGCATCACATCTTTGAAACCACATGGTTTATAAGAACTTGGTTGGAAGTTTGAACTGGGCCCTTAGGCAAGTGGGTCAGGCAGACCCATCACTAGCCAAGTTTTAGCTGCTAGCGCTCTTCAATCTAGGCTCTTCTCCCTAACCTGCTTTATGCTCCATGGTCAGAAAGCGCAGGTGTAATATCCTTAAGTTTAAAACGTATGTGCTGGATCAATAAACTTTGATTAATCACCCAGTTCAAAAAAATAAAAAATAAATAACCAACTAAAGCCTTCCCGGGTCAGCCTTTAATGCCCTCCCTTGAGGTTGCTAGCAGCGCTACTAGGCTGTGGTGTTAATAGACCAATTTCTTGTCGCTAAATCGTTAAATACCCGGGAATATAATCAAAATCTACAATTAATAACAACTGAGGGTGTGTCCAGAGTTGACCACAGAACGCGCCCGGCGCTAATCTATCGTGATAATGCAAAGCGAACGGAGAAGCTATCGGTTTAGGCTAGCTAACGTCGGCCGACTGCCGCTGTCTGTCGCTAGGCCAGCCGAGAAAATTTCAACGGCCACGTTCAATTATTTACCCGTGAACGGGACAGCAATGATTCCTTTAATGGGGGATTGTTTAACCTGACGATAGCAATATGCGGCGTTTCGTTGAGCTGCGTGCTTTCATTTTTGGCGTATTTTCCCACAGCTGTATCGAGGCCCGCCCAGGCTGCAGAGCCTGTCAGAACAAAGTGTCATGGAATCCGAGCGTCGGTTAGCAGCTAGCTTAGCCTCTCGGTTATGATGGCTTCAGCAGCACACGGTGAAAAACAGCTCTTCTCCCGCCGAATTACCAATGAAAAGCTAGCGCTATCGTTCGATTTTCACACACGCGAAGCTTTAACACTTACAAAATTGGTGACTTTTAATCCTGCTTTTTTAGGGGGGGTCGGGTTTTTTTCTCTCTCTGGACGATTGAGCCTCCGTCCTCCGTCTCGCTCAGCGTTCAGGGCAGTACCACTTCCGCTACACTGGCACTTCTGTTTCCTCCTTTCTCACCGCACATCTGCCTTACGTAATGCACGCGCTGCTTTTCTACCCACCATAAGAGATCATTTACAAAGCCGAAGTTAACCCTTTTACTTTCCTAGATAACAACTAATTTGCCCTTATTGCGTTCTCTAGACATGTTAAAGGTTAAAGAGACTCACTTTAAAATCTCTCATAATATTTACCCAGTGACAGAATGTTTGCACATTAAAATTTTATTTAACATGATGTGCCTTTTGTTTTACTGTCCTTTTTTCTTTTAAACTATGGAGAAACATTAAAAATTGGTTGTCCCTTAAATTTGAGGACATCCAAGAAATAACAATCACCCATGTGTTGTATTATGTTGACCTTGATAGTAAAATTTCAGATATGGTTGTTAAATATAATTTACATTGCTATAAAGGGGGAGATTTTACTCCTTGTATTTTTTATACTTCTTACAATACATCACTACATGTTCTACTGTTTCAGTCAAATTCACATTTGACTGATATATTCCGTAAAAATTCAAAAAATATCCACTGGACTTGGTTTTCAAGAAATCTTGAAAACCAAGTCCAGTGGATATTTTTTGAATTTTTACGGAATGACTTTGACCTGGATGACTGAGAACCTTCATCAGCACATTGACTGATATATGTTTCCCTATTTTGAATAATGTATTATTTAATCCTGTATGCCCAATTCTAAGTCTTGAAATAACTGTTTCCTCTCTTCTGCTTCCTTCTGTTATCCTCATTTCTCTGACTTTCCTATAAAACCATATTCCTCTCATTTCTTCTTTCCATTGTTTTTGCCACCTTTCCTTCATCCTTTGTATAATGATACTCTTCACTTCCGTCTTACTTAAGTTAATCATCATATGCTTACTTATGTGATGCTTCTTTAGCAATCTTGTCTACAATTTCATTTCTTTTAATCCCTATATGTGCTGACACCCAAATAAATATAACACTAATACCCATCATTTGAACTTGATATAAAACTTGCTGTATTTCATTTAAAATGTCTGATCTATTATCCAAACTATGATTTTGTATACTGATTAAAGCTGAACTCGAATCTGAACATATAATTGATCTTAATGGTTTTACTTCCTCTATCCATTGTAATGCTAATAGTATTGCTAATAATTCTCCTGTATATACTGATAATTCATTATATACTCTCCTATTTACTTTGATATTGAACTCTGGAACATAAAATGCAATACCTAGCCTATTACTCACACTTTTAGATGCATCTGTATATATTTGAATATAACCATAATAACTATTAACATATTCCTGTATCAGTTTATGTAATGTCACATCCACTGTAGTTTCAGGTATGATCCAGGGAGGGATTACTGGTAACGGTACAGTTGGACTACATTTAATTTGATCTAATTTAAGTTCTCTTAGTTTTTTTGTTTCCTCCTTTCTCACCGCACATCTGCCTTACGTAATGCACGCGCTGCTTTTTTACTGACCATAAGAGATCATTTACAAAAATTTAACCCTTTTACTTTCCTAGATAACAACTAATTTGCCCTTATTTGAGAATGCGTTCTCTAGGTATGTTAAAGGTTAAAGAAACTCACTTTAAAATCTCTCACAATATTTACCCAGTGGCTTAATTTTTGAACATTTAAATTTGATTTAACATGCTGTCCCTTTTGTTTTACCGTCCTTTTTTCTTTTAAACTATGGAGAAACATCAAAGATTGGTTTTCCTTTAAAATTGAGGATATCCAAGAAATAACAATCACCCACATGTTTTATGTTGATGACCTTGATAGTAAAATTTGAGATATGGTTAATATTTTGCTTGTATATCTTGCTTGTCAAATATCATGCTGTAAATGGAGAGGTTCTACTCCTTGTTTTGATTTTTTTTTCTTAACCAATTTAAATCGTATTACACCTCATTGAAACATTTGAAATCTGTTTCTGCCAAAAAAAAAAAAAAAGTTACTTCCAGTATTTCTACTTTTCTTTTGTTTTAATTCTTGCTCTGTATTTATTCATTGGCCTTATTGTTTATATATCTGTTCTTGTTTTTAACCCCATGTTCTATTTTTTTTTTTCTCTACCCATGTTGTAATGTTTGTACCTCAATGAGTCTTTGTACACTATTGGTTTGTCAAATAAATAAAGTTAAAAATATATATATACTGATCTCTATGGTTACATGCGTTATTATTACAATAGTTTATTTGTTAAACCCCATGTGCAAATACACCACTCATTGCTAGACTGAAATTGGTATGGTATATTAACTTTTAAATTAAATTTGTCCCATTTTTTACTTAGCGTTTATGAAGTTGCAGTACACCTAGGCATTTCATTAAGTAATAATATTGAAAATAATTTAACTTATTTCAGTTTTAACCCCCACAAGTGAAACAAAAAAATAATAAAACAGATATGTGAGGCGTTCCTCTCAGTTAGGAAGATTAAGTTTTACTACACATAAAAACCTCAGACTTAGACAGGTTTATTTTGTCATTTTGTATACACAAGTGTTAACAAAAAGAAATTTCGTTAAGAACAGCTCTCTAGACAATTAGATTTTTTATAAAGTGCAGCCTTGAAGACAGTAAAAAATACCTAAAAAACAGTAATATAAACAAATGACTGTATATTTACAGTTATATATATAATAAATATAATAAAATAACCAATTTTACACAACATTCAGCAGTCTAATGGCAGTGGGGAAGAAACCGTTATGGAATCAGCTGGACCTGCATCGGATGCTTCGAAGCCTCTTCCTAGAGGGCAGCAGGGAGAACAGTCCATGGTGGGGGTGTTAGGGGGGTCATTTATGATATTACAGGCTAAGGACACGCAGATACGGACATAAAAACCTCAATTGATAATACAATTATAAAACCAGTAATAGACAAATGACAATGAAATGCCAATGGATAATCTTTGATACAATAACTGTTATATAATCACTACTTTATGTTAAAATGCTTAAACATCTTGTTGATTTCTGTTTATTATTAATATTATTAGTATTTATAATAGTGTATGACATCATGTAAGGTTAAACTTCTGTCTTGTTTTGCCTTATGATGGGTTTCTGGAGAAACAAACACAGCCACATATGCAATTTGGAACCTTAACCCACAGGGCACGTACTTGGAGTCTAACCTCCTCTAAATAATATTGGATCTGAATGTTTAAAAAATATTCCTAAAGCTTAAATGTTGCAACTGTTATTTCTCAGGTCTAAAAATGTACTTTCTAAGCAGTGTGTTTAATGTTTAGGCCTGTTTCTACAATTATTGATGCAATAAGAAAAATGAGGTTAGCCACTGAGGGCCTAAGAAGCTGGTTGCCTACAGAAAGATATGTGAAAATTGAGTGGAAGGAAAAATATGCATGAAGAGCAGGAATACCCACTGCATTGAGATGATGGATGCCCTCTTCACAGTTTGAGGTAAACCAACAAGGTGTTGACCACAGTGGAAATCAGTGCTTAAAGAGATCTATCACACAGATGTATCCAGGATATGGACTACAATTGCCAGATTCTTTATGTTAAACCACTCCTAAATCAAAGACAATAGCAGGAACCTCCTGGTTAGGATAAAGACTGAACTGTAGCTCCAGTCGTCCAAAGCACTTTTTTTTTCAAATCAAGCAAAGTCTTTTATTTGGAAATGAAGTTTACAGAGTTAGGTGGAGGATTGGAAAGACACAGAAACAAGTTTCAGTATGAAGTGTCCATTTAGTGATGATTTATGCCACCTATATGGTTGTCGTCTATTTTGTAATGTTTAAAAAAAAAAAAACATTGAAATAGATGAAGTGATATAAATATTTATGGATCACTTTATAAATATAAAACTACAGTCACATACTTCTGTTTTGTTCGAATAAAATAACGACAGTTCAGGCCTCATATAACAATCTAGCAATAAGGTATACAAATATAATTCTTAATTAAGTTGGGGGGAAAAAGATCACTCAAAAAATTCTACAAAAATCCCAAAACATACGTGTACGGTGTTTCTTGGACATAAAAAGAGTTGATTAGGTTGGACATTTTGTGAATATATATATATCCATAAAAGTCTATTTCTAATGCTTAAATTTCCTTAAATTTGTACAAAAATCAGTTATTTACCCTGCATTTTCTTGTCCATACGTAGTTTAAATGTTTTTATCTCTTAATCTTGCATTTCATTGCTCATGTTGACTACTAAAGCTGACAAATTAAAGCAGGGCAGGCTTTTTGACAGAATTGTTTTTTTTTTATCTTCAGGCTGGCAGAAGGAAACCTACAGAAGCAAACGGCCCCAATCATAAAGAAAAATGCTCATATATATTTATGTAAGTTATATAAGTGTGAACCTTATTTGTTACAAATGAAATGCATGAATGGGCAAATACCTTTTAATTCAAAGATAAACAAAGCCTCCGATTTAGTTTCTAACTTCTCAACAGAACTGCCCAAAGTCTTAATATCAACAGACGTTTAAAAATGTCCTTAGATAAAGTCAGATATTTAGGACAGAAAAGTTTAGTACAATGTGTTTTTTAATGTAATACTTAATCAGGTAAATCTAATGAAGTTTCTAATTTCCTCAAATGTTGTGATTTATAACCATTAGAAAAATAAAAATCGTAACTCAATAAACAGGTAAAGTGGAGTGTGATTTAATTTTGGATAAGGAAAAAATGTTTTGCACTTAGTATCTTGACACCTGATTTCGACAGTACATATTCACGCCATTCTGCATAAAATGTTATTATATTTATATTTTAGCAGTAGTGATAAATATTTATTTCCCGTTTTAAATAAAAGCATTCATATCATGTTAGATATTTTAGTTTAAGATTTTGGGTTAATACAGTAAAACCGCTGTATTTTAACCAGATGTCAACAATGAAAACCCACTAGGTTTAGAGTGTGTTTTTTTTTGTTTTTTTTTAAGAACCAATCAGGAGTTTCATGGCAGAAACAGCCTTTATTAATTTAAGAAAGTTGTGCGCTTTACTCACCTTGCAGTATTCTGACAGCTTTTAAGCAAAAGTAGATGGAATATGTTCCTGCTCACATCTCGTTGATAAGAAAGTGCTTCATCTCTAAGCAGGCTCACTGAAGCAATAATGCATCAGGGTGTTTTAATCTTTGCCTTAATTATCCTAACTGCAAGGCTTTATCTGCAGCAAAAGATGAATCCATGGCAGTAGGCAGCCTCCAGTATCTCCCAGTGGTTTTTAACAACTTAAGTAGAAAGTATAATGTTCTAGTTGTAAAGTAAAAAAGTCTAAGAAGCTCTTTTTTTCAGACAGATCTTAAATGTTTGAAGCAGTTTTCAGTCTCACTAAGCAGGGATGTCTTCTAGGTTTTTGACGATGGTTAATATTTTTTAATAAAAGGGTTTATTATGTGATCCCTTCAAAACTATGTGTGCTGCATTTTAAACAGCAGTCACATCGGTGAGACCATTGAACCAGGCTGTTCATCAGGCAGTCTGCGCCCCTATAAAGAATCCAAAGAACAGATGTGACCTTTTTTGGAGCTGCCAACATGTTTGATATGTGTCTGCCTGAGCAGATCGGCTGTGAGGTGTTCCCTGATCTGACTGCTGTGCCATCACCGCCTAAAGAAATAACCTAGCTCTGTGCACATTTCAATAAAATCAGAAAAATAGTATATGGACATTTTTATTTTATACAGGACCTTAACCAAGAGCCTTTTCACTTTTTGACAGATCAAAAGCACAAGCTTGAATGCATGGAATTAAACTATAAGTAGTGCATAATTATAAATAGAAAGAAAATATCCTTTAACTTTTTTCTCCACGAAATAATCTGAAACAGCTGTCAAACATTTGTATTTTCCCTGTCCGAGACAATGCATACAGCTTAAACCTTGTGCAGTGTAAGTCTACCAGTTTTGCACATCTTCACACTAAATTTTTGAAACATTCTTCTAAAAAAGGCTGCTATTTTTAAGATTAACTAATGATTCTCAGTTGGATTACAGGCCAGACTTTGACTGGGCAATTCTTACACATGAAAATAATTTCTCTTTTTTCTTCAATATGGCCATTTTGCTGGATATTAACCTCCAAGTTTCCTTGGAAGTTGAATACATTGCTCTGTATTCAGCTTTAGCTCAGTCTACCTTCCTATCAACTCTGACTAGTCTGCCTGTCACCAATGAGGAAAAAGCAAAATGCTGTCACCATCATGTGACTGTGTGATTTGCAATTAGTCCATAAAATTACAATTTGGTCTCATCAGACCAGAGCTTCTCTTCCCACACTTTTACTGTCATGCCTATTAGCACGGTGGTAAACCCCACCGAGCTGTGGATCTTTGCAGCACCTCCAGAGCTACAGCAGGTGCGACTCTGTATATTCCTCTGATCTTTAAGTTCAGGTTTATATTCTGAATGTAACTGGCTGAGTTGTATTTTTTCTGAATTTTGGGGTAAAGAAGATTGATAAATATGTAATCTAGAGATTTGCTTATGTAATATTTGGAGACTATCTATTGGTTTTCCATTTTCTTCACTTCCTGCTCTGCTTCCTACTGGTTTGTCACATTATCTGCCAATTAACATGACAAACTGCAGACAAGTTCAAGAGGTTTTAGTACTTAAGGCACTGTAACATAAAGTTATACAACAACCACAAAAAATTATTTCTCTAATCTTGAAGGTTTATTTTGATTTTTAGAAACTCTGAGAAGACATTACCTCACTGGGAGTCAATACTGCTGACCAGAGCTCCTCATGCTGCCTATCATGTTAGTCTCTTTAAATTAAAAACCGTGGCTGGAAAAGCAAGTGATTTTCAAATGTCTTAACTCATTTAACTAATTTATCCTTGTAATAATCCTTGTTAAATAACATTTGATTTTTTTGTCAACCACCCCATAAAAACTTAAATATGCTGTTATTGTTGCAAAAACTCACTAGTCTTACATACCTATACCATGTAGACAATGAGCTGAAAGCAGAGTCTCTTCACTTTGTGCACCTTTATGTACATTCTGCATTGATTTGGGTCAAATAAAAGGACATTTGAGGAACCAATCAGTTAGTTTAGGGTATACAACATTTCAATATTGTATTTTGATTGTTTTCAAATGCCACACCAGTCGCTGCAGACGGTTCGCCAGACCTGGTGAAGCTGGATGGGAAACGTACCGAGCTATTGAGAGTTTCCTCTGCAGTCTCTTCCCATTGGATGGTACAACTGAGGCACAAAACCACAGGAATTACATCGAGTGTACTGAATAAGTGATAATGTAATGTTTAAAGAAGCACAACTTAGCAGCTTTCATTTGAGATGCATGTTTATAGTCAGTAAACCAAGAAATGTTTGACAAATCCTAGAAACTGTAGATTCACTCGATTTATTTTTTCCTGCATTGCTTTAGTATTTTTCACTGACATTACAATCTGTCTTTATCTCATACAGGTGGTATTCTTACACTAAGATTAACCGCTTATTGACTCAGAATAAAAGCCTGCAAAAAAGCTGGAAGGGAAATCCCCATTTGTCCTCAGCATCTTTGTGATCCAATGGTTAAAAAACCAGTGAGGGAGTTTGAGTCCAATAGCAGAGTCTCCTCAGGGAACTCTTGTGCAGTCTGACCATCATTCACTTGGCTCCAGGTTGATCCAGTGCTAGGAGACCATCTGCCATCTTCTGCTCATACTGCCGCTCTGACTTCTTCCTTCTGTAAACATCGTCTGTAAAAAGAAAACAAAGGATTGAAAAATGAAGTTTGGCCTCGTTAGAGATGCAGCAAAAGGCATCTTGCGGAAAGTTGGCACTTAAATGGACAACAGACGTTATTCTGCGGGTGTTTAATGTGGAACAGGAGGAAATTAAAAGGTGTTACTATTAGTTAACAATGGCTCTGTTCCACTTATGTGACCCTGCAAACGAATTGTGTACAAGTGGACGAGGCTGTTCATTGCAGTTTGGTTCGACGCTGAAGATTATATTTAAGATATTGACTAACCTGGATGTTTGATAAAAATCAAATCATCAAAATACAACATTTGTTTTACCTTTGCTTTTTCTGAGAGCCTTATCTTCCAGTACAATATAAGAGCATTTTATTTACCCAACCCAGACGAATGAAATACTAGTCTGCTATTTAGACAGCCCGAGTATAAAAAGAAGAAACGTTGTTTTCTGTTTTCCTCTTTTAATCAGCAGAAGATTTGGCATAATTTTATTTTTATCAAACTGTACAAGAGAGCACTACTGATTTTTTTTTTTTAAATAAGCTGGAAAAGGTTCAGCTACAACAGAAGCAAGCTATGGTTTATTGCTTTTCACATCATCTTGCAGACGTGGGTGTAAATCACAGGCTCAAGTACGTAAAAAAAAAACAACACAAATACTGTAACACCATTCTTAAAATACTCTATATGAATTTTAAATGCTGAAGAGGTACGATTTTATACCACTGGATTAGATGCAAGTTAATAGAAAGAATCAAACTACCGGTATACAGGAATGATATTAAGATTTGTTGCATCCTAATTGGATTCAGTCTGAGGTTCTAGTACTTCATCAGACAGGCATCCAAACATAATATGTCTGAGATGTAAACATGGTTCTATTTATCATTTCACCTGCATCTCATTTGTACCTTGTGTGATATAACTTTTTTTTTAATGCAATTATTTTGTTTGTGGTCCACTGACAACTGATTATGTTTAATATTCCTCGTCACAATGAATCATCTGGTTGGCCTGTTAGACTGCACCGAGTTATTTGTTCTGCAGTTAATGAGCGCCCTGCTGTGGTTGTTGCTGTCGGGGGGTTGGTCCTCATTAGAGAAACTGGATTATCTAAGTGATTATTAAAATGAAAAAAAAAGCAGAAAGATAAAATAAATATAAACAATTCTGTTACTAGAATCAGTTTCATTATTTTCCCTTTAATGTTAAGGAAAATAAAAAATGTTCCCTGTTGTAACAATTACTCTGACATCACACATTAAAGGTTCAAATGCACTACCAAGCTGAGCTGCATGCCTCCATATAAGGTTGCAGTTATCTGTATTCATTCCTTCAGATGCTCAGTAGTGGATCACAGACACTTTGGCAAGGTGAACAGTTTGTCTCTCACTATTAGCTGGTCCATTTACAGTCTCTCATTGGCATTTAGTGCTGAAATGAAAGCTCATCCTTTTTGTCCAATATTAAAAACCCATGCAGTGTTTTCTTTAAGGCAATTAGTTTTGAGTTTGCTGAAAATCAAATAAATGTTGAAGATCTAAATGTCAATGTAGAAAGGACCATAATCTTGCAATCTTTTTGATTTTACATCCGAATTCAAAATTACTACCTAGAGGGGTCTGTAGCTCATTTATTGGCTGAGATTTACTCCCCTGTACAGGTTCATAAGGTAAAATAAATGCATTTACTTATCAAACGATTTGCAGCCCTTTGATATTTTAAAATTTGTTCAGAACTAATTAATGTATTTTAAATGGTAGTTCAATAAAAAATCAATTTCATTACATAATAATAAAACCCCATAATTTTCTACATGTATTCTAAATAAAAATCTAAAAAGATTTTCAATCTCCTTCGCCTAAATAAAATCAATTGCAGACTTCAGACATTACATAATCAGTAAGTGGGGGTCATTTGATCCCAGTCTAAATGCATCTGTGAAGGTCTCAGAGGTATAGTAAAGCAATCAGCATCATGAACAGCAAAGAACTGATTTATGGAGAGGTTTGAAGCAGAGTTAGCTTCTAAAACATGCCAACCTTGACCAACTTAAAAAGCAATATTCAGTCAATTAACTGAAAATGGAAAGAATGGCACCAGTGCAATTTACCCGTTATGTGATGGTAGTCCGAATTAACTGACCATGGAGAGAAACAATCAGTAAGGCGAATGAGGCAACACTGGAGGAGCAGAGATTCACAGCTCAGGACAAACCAGAGGACTATCAGCCATGCATTTCAAGAAGGAGGCAATTCCTAAAACAATTTTCACTTTAAAGTGCAAGCTGTGTAGAGTGAATTTAAAATAGGTGAAAGAAGTTGCTGTCATTAGATAAAAAAAAAAAATCAACTCTAACAAATAAACTATGGGCCTACAGACTTTTACTGAATACCCCATTTCCACAGTGAAGCATGGTGGTGGCAGAACCATGCTGTGTGCATTCCCTTTTTTTTTTTTTTATCGGGGGCACAAAAATCTGTACAGGGAAGGGGGATCCAGCTGAAAACTATTAGAAACCAGAGGATGTTTAAGAGTCTGGACAAGATAGATTAATTCATCTTTCAGCAGAAAACAACCATAAACACACAGGTAGAGAGCAGTAAGGAGTCCACACCTAAATCCAGCTGAGAACTGTAACAGGTACTTGAAAAAGCACTACTAGATTCAGAAGTGTTGCATAAAAGTTTTTCTTTATTTATGAAAATATGTAATGCACAATTTTGTATTGGTTTAGCCAATGGGTTTAGCCACTAAACTCCAGATAACATACACTATATGGTTGTGAAGTGATAAGATGCAGACGAGGGAACAATATAAACAGCTAACTAATCAAATGCCCTGTATCTGATGTCACATGTGCAGCTAACAGGTGTCATTTAAAGAAGCCAATAGACTAGCTTTGGAATTGCTAATGCTAATGCTAACTCCTTGTCACTGATTGATGTTAATAGTAGAAGAAGGTGACTTTGTTTACACTTACAGAAAGTTTCTTGTCCTATCCTCACGTTAATCATAATCCACTCCATGACTCCTCCAATGCAGAAAAAGATAGGTAAGAACCTGTAGGCTCCCAGCCGGTGCTTCCCAGGGACAATACTCAGTAAACCTTTTATGGTTTTACTTCGGTAAAACATGTCGTCTAAAAATGGTATCTTGCTCCTTGCTCTGCCCAGTCTACTGCTGCGTTTTCATTAAAGCGGACCAGAAAGAAGTGAGGGAAGCCACCTTTACTACGTCCTTTACAGACGTTATAAAAGCAAAGAGGAGGTGCGCTCGATTTATGCTAACGATTCAAACAAAACGGGGCGGAGTTAGATAAAAATTATATGCATCGGCAACAACAGAATAATGAAGGTCAAAACGAGCATACCGCACAATAGTCCGCAACATCCGGGCGTGTTGCGTGTTTGAATTACAAATTGATTTTATGTTTCACTGTAATATAAACATAGGGGCTTCAAGGTCATACATAAACAGTCTTTCGGTGTACAGTGGAATAAATTAGTGCCGCACATATAAAATATGTAGTGAATTGGAATGATCAACTTTACCTACAGGACACCATGTGTAGTTATTTAGGGGTGCATCTAAATGAATTGAGTTCAAAATACATTTAATAACTATTTAAAGAAACAACTTATTATTGAAGGATAGATACATTTTTTGCACATTCGTACTGTTTTATAGGAAGTGAAACGCTAATTTTATTTCCTGAGAGAATTAGAATGAGTAAGATCAGCTGCAGAAGGGTAGCACTAAAGAAGAGATTTTGTCCAAGCCAGGGGCGCAGCTAGATGGGGGGCATGTTTTTCCCTCTTATACTGATGGTGGCAGCAGTAATACGCTCAAGTGGAATATTCAAAACATTTTATTTTTTTTGTGGCTAATTATACACATTCATATACTAACATCAAAGATAAGTGCAGAATTCATGCTCTTTTCAGAAATAGATTTTGTGTTATATGGGGTAAACCGAAGATTGTGTGTCTCTGCAAGTCATCTGGGAGTCTTCAGTGAAACCAAAGATAACAATTTTAATAAATAATTTATGTAGATATTGGTGCTTGTAAATATAAATTTTATGCAGAGTGTTTGATACAAGTAAGTAACGAAAATGGAAAAGATTTACGCCCCAGAACTCCAAACTGAGTTTTATCCACTATACCTTTTATCTAGAAATTACGGATGTTTAAATATATGCATATATTTGTCAGCAAATGCTGTAGGAAAGTGTAGTTTGTCTTTATTTAGAAAATATTAATGTTTTGCTTGTTCATTTCCCTGTAGGAACAGTGTAGATTGACCCTGAGGTTCTGGGGCCTATCCGCTTTCGGCTCCTCCCTCAGTGTACATTGGTTATTGCCTGGCCACCCTCATAAGGTAAATATTCCTGGCTACACATCTTGTCCAAGCGGCTTAAGTCCAGTCTGGTCACTGATCAAGTTATCTGCTGGTTATAGTCCACTGATATCAAGTCCGATGTGAGAACAGCAGTCTACCAGGAGGACTTTTTTATATTTAACATTTATTAAAGCTTATTCTTCCAAAAAAAAAAAAAAGAAAAATCAGACTTTACTCATTTTACATAGTACATGTAAACATTGCATGTTTTATTTTTTGCTGAGGGTGTAATAAAAAGTAAAAACCACAAAATCTTTTTTTTTTTTTTTTTGCATTTTAATTTTTTTTTATAGTTTTGGAAACCCCCCCAAAGTAATTTCCACTTTTACAGTTTTGACTCGCAAAGCATAAAGGTTGGACACTGGGGGCTGTATGGAATATTTAACCTTTCAGTTTCGTCACTTGCCTTATTTCAGAACTAATACTTAAAACTGCTTGGGCCCATAATAGGTTGCAGTAAGAATATCAGCAATACGGTGATATTTTAGTAAAATAATTTCAAATAAAAAACACAAACTGGATTTATTTGTGGCTAGAATGACCATAAATAACTGTTGATATGACATTATGATGCAACATCATAAAGTGCACACAGCAGATACAAAAATTATTCATACATAAGACACATGCATCAACTATTAAAGGGCCCAACATTATCGCACATGGAGTCTACAAGGGATCTATGAGACTAAGTCTAGTTTTACTCACTAAACATCTACTGAACAAAATATATTAAGTTACAATAAACAGGACACTTATTACACAGTGAAGGAAAAAACATTTACCTTTTCTATATGAGGACAGTTCTTTGAAAACTTTCCTGAAATTTGCTGCCATTTGCAGGATATGAATCTGAAATATCAACCGCATCTACATAATCTTTTTGATTTTCACATCATCTTGATTCACTGATAAACACCCAGTTCATATCTTCTTTCTCATAACAAAAAGGCCAGACGTTTGATTTGTAGATTGCAAAAAAAAAAACAAAAAAAATCTCCTTAAGAGGATTCAGATACAGGACGGGATCAAATATTTTTTATAAATAGTTCTCCGACTCAAATAAATACATTTTGATTTATCTTTGCTGACTGGACCTTGTCATTAAGCTTAAGCTTTTACAGCCTTGTACCTTATAGGGCAACACATGGACAAAAAAGATGAATAAAACAGAGGACATTTTTTTTTTGCATAATACAAAGAAAGTCTCACAGTAATATGACAGTAACAACTGCTGTGCTGCAGGTCAGTCTTCAACTTTGTGAGCTGGTCTACAGAAAGTCCAGTGATGCTCCACGGTGTTCTCGTTTGCACGCTCACTCATGTGGTGCACACGAGTGTTCCGAATGGTGAAGCCTTGTTTCATTATGTAGTCCATGAGGTGCACTCTTAAAGAGACCTCTTGGTGATAGTCACATGGTCCAAAGGTAAATGATACCTGACAGTCTCTGGTGTCCATCATGTGTTTGTTCCACTTAGTAAAGTTGTTGGAAATGCCTTCTAGAAGGGCATGAACCTTTGTTGTTATGGTTAGCTGTGTGATAATAACCGCCACTGGGTTTGAGTATTTGGACAGTTTCCGGGTGCTGGAGAGCTCCACAACCTGTTCAAAGATATCTGGTGGGTACAGAGGCTTGGGGTCGTTAAGACACTGGATCAAAGGTTCGATCTGGTAGAAGTCTGCCTCCTTCCTGAGGAGGTCTGTCTCTGTGAAATCTACTGGGAGGGTGAGCTCCGACGTTCGCAGGAAGTTCAGAATGTACCGGAAAAGTGTTCCATCGCGGTCGATGAAATAATTCCCCTGGGAATCACGAGTTGTAGGGAAGTCTCCCCGAAACATGGCACCAAGCATGGAGTCTGGGTAACGCTGGAGGGTGGATAGACTGGTGGTGTACAGGTGGCCTCCAACGTTCAGGGTAATAGGGGTAGTCATCTATAAAAAATAGCAAATATCATCTGAAACACTCTTTAATAGCTAAAAATGGACTACATTCAACCTTTAACATTGCCCACACTGCATTTTATAGCATAGCCATGACTTACCCTATGGCCCCAGTCTCCATTATCCATTTGTAGATTAATACCCACAAGCTCTGAACCAATAAAGAAGGAAGAGATTACAGCTGCCACACCTTGACTTTACCTGCAGAAACAAGTAATAACAAAATAAGTTGTAACACAACTGGATCATAAAGTATGTTCAATTGCACAAAGATATTTATATTTTAAAGCTGGATCCCTTTTTGTGCTGTACTTAAGACAGAATCATAAAAATTCGATCAGTAGATGGAATAGGCTGAATGTATTGGATAACTTACATTTTTCCAGTAGGCATTATAAGCTGAATATAAATGCATTTCATAAAAATCAGAATTTAATTTATTTGCAATTAATTGAATCTGCCGAGAAGATTCAACTTAGTTTAATTGCACATTTCTGGATAATCAATCTGACATTATTTTATAAAATGCATTGGGAGTGCATTTGCTGATAATTGGCACTGTATAAATAACATGGACTGGATGTTGAATTGTATCGCACTGAAAAATTTAAAATATAAGTAACCCTAATTAGAAAAAAATGTGCCTTGCTCAAGGATAGTGTTAGCTTTAAAATATGGAGATGACACGTGGAAACATCATGAATGAAAACAAATATCACAGACTGATCTTAATAATAATAAAGAAAAGGCTGAAGAATTTGTAAATAATATATCAAGTGTGGGTGAAATAATGAAATGTATGGTGCACAGGGGTCTATAAATGTTGGTCCTGCATCTCACGCCCTGTTAGCTTTAGACAGAATGCAAATGTTTCTCTGCAGCACTGAGAAGTAATGCTGATGTGACCAAACAAGGTCAGAGAGAGGAAATCAAGGTGTGTTACAGCAATGCCTTCATTTTTAAACTGTGAAGAATATCATAGGGTATTTCTTTACATTAAACATTAGCTATGTCATTTCAGTTGCTTCACTTTCACCAAATAAAAAAAAAATATATTAATTATGTTCTCTGCATGACTGAGTGCGTATGTCAACAAAAAGCTAAAAAAAAAAAAAGACTTACCTGGATTAAACTATAGGTAGGTCACATTTATGTTAAATCAACATGAATAAATGATCCTAAAACATAACGCTACATATTATTGCCACAGTAGTTTTCACTGCAGCTGCAGAGAAAATCAAAGAAGCTTGATAAAAGGCAATTACCTTCTATTTAAGCGTGTTAAAGTTTCATTAAACAACCGTACAAAGTAGCATTTCGCGAGCCTTTGGGTTCCAAAGTGAAACGGGACAAAAAAACTGAACCTCTGCTAGCCTAGCTAACGGCTAGTTGCAGCTAACGGCTAGTTTCAGCTAACAGGCTACTAGAGCTAGCATCTTATTAGAGTTACAACTACGGGATCTGAACCGGGCTAACTAGACAGAGAAACAGACTATATGCATTTAAAGCCTTACCAGCTCAGGTGTATGGTTTGGTTATATATGTTCATCCTATAAAACACTTTGGAGTCAGTTTGTAAGCGTTCAGACAGGCGGTGCTTTATGATGCTGCAGCAGGGACGCTCTAATCCACACCAGGATGCAGCAGAACTGCGCACACAAGGAGGGGAGGGGAGGGGGCCCCTCTGGATATACAGCCACATCTGCACTGCTCTAAACTTGTGTTATGGAGACCCTTACTTCCGTTCAAGATTTATATCTTAAATGAGACGCAGAAAAAACGCCTTTTGATCCGGTGCAGACAAGCCGACTTGGGAGTTTTTTTTTCCCCCTACGGCTGCCTTTAAACCAGTGTCGGTTCTAAACGAAATTTACCAGGGGGCCAGGATGGGGCCTGTTGCCCTTCATGGGGCCACAGAGCAAAATAATAATGCAAAAAAAGTAAAACACATTTGACCGCATTCCAAAAGGGGTGGACCTGTTCGTCGGTCTCAATTTGCATGTTTTCTAAACAATAACAAGGCTATGTTGGGATACTGTATAATGCTACGTTTAGTATGCAAGCAGCAAAGGCAGCAGGAGCTGCTAGTTTCCAAGCAAAGTCAATGGTTGACGCCCATCAAGGCGCCTCTGAGCAACTGGAGCTGCTGCTGGAGTTGTATGGCAAGCCAAGAATGTCACTATTCGCATCTAATTTCCACGTTAAGATTGAAAACATTGAACTTTTGCTGCTCGACGTGCCACATCAAATGACAAAATCTGCTGGTCCCCAAACCAGAACCCCATCTCCCCCTTGTCTGCACCTACAAATACTGTCCATAAACAGGACCGGTGAAAGAGGGCTGTCCTTACGCAGTAAAACATGCACTGGGAGCAGGTCCGAATTTATGACTGCAATTTGGACTGAAATCCTCCTGCTCCTCTTGTACAGTGACTGGATATAGCCCCTAGTAAAGGGCCTCTACAAGCCACCATAAGGAAAACCTTGTCCAGGTCCTTAAACACGTGTAACACTCAGGCACTCCCCACTCCAGCATCCTGGGATAGGCCTTCCCAAAGGAGGCTTAATGTGAATGTGATCCCATGAAAGTTGAAATACACCCTTCAGCACTGCTTCCCCCTCTGAAAGTGCTCGGCCGTTTACCAGAATCACTTTGAGGTCGACCGATAGTCTTTCTCCATGGTCTCTCCAAACTCCTCTCAGGCTTGAGTTTTGTGGTACACTTGGCCTCATAGTATTCGCTTGCTCCCACAGGAATACCACAAGCCTACTAGGCTTGATAGGACTCCTTTTCAGCTTTACAGCATCCCTTACTAACTGTGTCCACTGCTGGGGTTGCTGCCATCACACGGACCACAGACCTTGAATATGTCCCTGACCAAGGACTCCTCCAGATATTTCCAACAGATCCTCACTGCAGGCTTGTGCCAGACTTTTCGGCTTCCTCCTCTTCCATCGTATTCAAGTTCCTACCAGTTTGTGATCGATGAAGAGCTCCGCCCCTCCCTTCACCTGAGTGTCCAAAACATGAACATGGTGTACATCATGGACAATCTATGACTTGCAGTCCAATAATGAAACACCACTCGGGTTCAGAGCTGGGGGCCTGTTCCTCCCAATCAAACCCCATCTAATTATATATCCTTATAAATGAGTGGAAAAAAACTTTTTACAATATATTTTTCTTTAGATGTCCCACCTGTAGGTCATATTGTCCATTTTTACGCTCAAGTAAGAATTGCCAAGTTTAATTTGAGAAACATATGGAAAAAGAGATTGCAAATGTTTTTATAAAGGATGTATCAGCGCAAATAAAACAGAACTGAAATGAATCTAAATCTGGAATAAATGGGTGTCCCATTACTTACCTTTGTCAAACTATTACCAGAAACAGGAAAAAGATAAGCCAAAATTCCTAAAATTAGAAAATTGTTTCATTTTTTTTTTTTTATTATTTCTCAAAAATTAGAGACATAAAACCTTTTCGCTTTTTTTCTCATCCGGGGGTGTGAAAGTCAGGTAAAAAAAAAAAAAAGAAATCCCCCTAAAAATGAGGACACAAATATTTTGCAAAATAAGACGAAAACACAAAAGTCCAACAGCTATCGTCATTACTTTTTAAGTTTTCAACAAAATGGTAATCAAGAAAACTAAACTTCTCTACAATGCAGTTCTCCCCCTTTATTAGACACTAACATTACAAAGCATTGCAGGAATTACATATTCAAGAAGACTTCTTTGTGCCACTCCTGGCATTTTGCTGCAGGATTATAAACTCCAGGATAAGTTTGGCTGTACGACACGGCTTTTCCATCACCACAGAGTGACCACAGTTGTCCAACAAATCCACTCTGCAACCAGGCACCAACTCCGCAATGACTGCAGCTCCAGAGACATCCACCACCTGGACAAGTATGCAAAAATAGTGTGTCTTCATCTATAACAATATTTTTCCAAACATGTTCATGATTGGTTGCAGATAATCAAACCTATTTATCTAAACAGACTTTGCCAAATGATTGAACTTCAGAATTACCTGATCCTGTTTTCCCCAAATCACTTGTAAAGGGGAGATAATGAGATGTAAATGTTCCTGTAAGGCATATCTTGATTTCTCACCGATGATCTCCATAAATACTAATAAAGAAATAAACACAATTTTATTAAATCTATATATTAATTATACTAAAATGTTTGCAAAAACAATAAACTAACCTTCTTCGTAAAATGCATTGTGAGGTTCTCGAACGTCCACGAGTCCTTGAAGAATCTTAACATTAAAAACAAAGCTGTCAACATCCACATAATGATACGACTGCTTCATGGTTATCAACCATTCTTAGTTTACAGAGAATTCAATTCATTTTTCTCATGCCGGTCTGACCTGCTGAGGAATTTTAAAGCGGACATGAGAACAGAGCCTGAACATGTCCTCCATCTCTTCAGGTGTAGTTGGGATCAGAGGGATGTTCAGTGTGAAGTTGCTGTGCTCCAAGTCTTGAAGGTGATTGTCAAATTTGGTTTCTGATTGGTGTCTTACTCCTAAAGGACGAGACCAGTGTTTTACTGATTAAAATGCTATTTTTTTTTTATAGATTTGGTAATATTAAAGTCACAAACCTCAACAACAGTTCATAGGGAATTTATGTGGTAAAGCAGCACAGTAACCCTTTATTTTTAAGAGGATGGAAAATGGTGCACGGTAACCCAGTTTATTTAACATTAGCATCTTATGAATTATCCTTTCATTCCCTGACTATATTCCTTTCTGCATTTGTGTGCAGTCTGTGGTTGTAATGCGACAAAATGTTTAAAGGTTAGAAAATCCTTTGCAGGGCATTGTATGAAGACAAACAGACGGTGACTGACCATCGGGACAGATGAGAGTCATGCTGCAGATCTCTGAAGGGTAGCAGGCTGCGTAAACCCCGGCAACGTTTCCCCCCATGGAGGTTCCCACCAGATGGAATGCTTTTCTGTTTAAGTGAATGCTTTCCACAAACTACAAAGTATGAGAGATACACATTTTTCAAATGAAAAGATTTAGGAAACTAAAATATACTTCTGTACATATTATTTCCAAAAGCCTTTACCTGATGGATCCTTCTGGCCTGCCCCTGGATGGAGTAATCCTCAGTGTTGGTGCGTGTTGTCCCTTCGTGGCCAGGCATGTCCACACATATTATGTGCAGGTGTTTTGGTAAATACTGCAAAAACAAAAATGAAAATGAAACGTAAATGCATACAATTTACACACGCCAGAAGTTATCATCTAATTAAAAAATCTTATTAAGTTAATAAGAACTATTTCATGCTGCATTTCTGAAAAAAAAAAAAACAAATATCAGAGTATAGTCTGTTTCAGTAGCATACCTTAATGTCACAGACTGTCACACATTTTATTAAATTAGGATTATTTCTGTGGGTGAAAAAAGCATACCGGTAACTTTCTTTTTTATTATAACTAAAAACATGGACATTTCAATTATTAGTTTTTTTTTCCAACAATGGTAAAATGTCATAGCATATCTTTGTATTAACCGACTCTATGTTTCAGTCAGTGTTTGCGCTCCTCTGTATGAGCATTTTTCAGCCCTTCAAGTTGATAGAAATGATGATTTTACAGCTTGTCTAACCTTGACAACAGACAGCCACATGTCTTTGTGAGCAGAGAAGCCATGAAGCATCAGGATGGAGGGCCTCATCCCAGGCTTTCCTCTGTAGGAGTAACAGAAGCGATAACCTCCACAGTCTGCATAGCGAACCTGTAGACCCAAAGTCCTTCTCCAGTACCTGAAACAGGGTATATATGTATTAAATCAGGATATTGCTTCCCTGCACACATTGCTGATTTGGAGTATTTAGGGTAATAATAACTTCCCATTTCCACTTAAGAAGCCATTTTTAATTCATCGTGCATAACTTAATTGTTGTTTATTTGAGGAAAATAAAACTTTCTCTGTAAAATAGGATGTTTTTTTTAGTTAGGTGATTAGGAAATGTGTATTTTAGCCTCTCTAGCTACTTAGTCGATCCTTTATTGTTTGCTAAATGAGTGAACCTTGGATCATCTCGTTAATTACACCTGGCTTGACAAAGTGACACATATTGAGCTATGTCTTTGTGGAACGGATGAAGCCAGGATGCAGTTCTCACACTTGGTCAAGACTAGCTTTATATATCCCAGAATTTCTGAATTCAGCTTCTGTGAATAAGGCCACTGGTTTTAATGTGAGATTAATGTGTTCACTGTGTTTTTTTTTTTCTTCCAAACATAGTATTTTAAGACACATTTTTTTATGCTTAATGGAAATGTAGAATTTTGGTCACAGCTGACTTGCCTCTCCTCCATAAACTCCACATTAGAGTGCACATCTGATATTAGCTATTTCGGCAGATTGTTCCATTTGAGCTGTGGATTGATGCAGCCTTCCCAACTTACCATGGGCTTGGCTGCTTCTCTGATTAATACTTCCTATGCTCAGACGGTCAGTTTAAGCTGGACAGCAATGAGTTGGTTATTTTGAAGTCGGGTTAGGCCTTTCAAAGCTTTTAATATCGCATCCCTGGTCTGCCTGGTGAATTCCTCCGTCTTATATTGCCTGTTGTTCACTCTAACAAGCATCTATCACTATCACAAACCAACTTAACTTATGTTGAAAAATGCACATGCAACTTTTTACTAACGGTAAATGTTTCAGTCAAATAATAATAATAAAAAAAACATTTCAAACAGGCTGAATAACTAACATATGATGCTAATCTGATGATATAAACAATATGAAAAGGTAACATGTCTTTACAATATTTATAGTCATATTTTAAAAGCAACTAATCTTTGATCATTAAAACTCTCATTTCCAGTTCTGAAACTAAAAGCTAAAGGCTTTCATTGATACATTAATCAATGGATTTTATTAAGATCATAATAGCCACACTTTGTTCCCCTTATCAAGCTGCAAATGGACTGCAACTTAAAAAGGTTCAATCAGCTGTAAGGTGTATGCCAGGGTTTTCATTACTGTAATAAAACTTGGAACGTTTTAAGGAGTAGATCATTTTGAAATTGATATATAATTAAGGATAAAAATAAATAAGTAAGATTTAACTTTAGTGGTTGACTGGGATAGAGCAGCAATATGTAGGCTAAACATATTCTGCATAGTAATACCTGTACATTTAATGAATTAAACTTAGCAAAAAATGGTTTTAGTGAGACATTTACAACACAGGCAATCATTAACCACTGATGTTACATATTCATGCAAAGCAGTCTACTTTACCAGTAATATACTTTAATAAGCACAGATGGCCAGAGAAGGAAGGAAGCCAGAAATGCCAGGATGGGAATAGCCAGTGTAGCTCCAGCAATGAAGAACAGGTTCACTACATCCAGCTCAGCTGCCATGGCTGCTCTTAAAATCCAGAAAACTGATGGGAGGGGAACATAATAATAATAATAAAAAGATTTTAAACTGTCTATTTTATAACATATAGTAAAAATCAAAAGACTTACTCTTCATGAAAGTACTGTCACATGAATGCGCATGGAAAAGCTGTTTCAGTCCTGCTGTTGTCTAGCTGTAAAATGTTTAATAGCGTCCATCTGGTGTCCTGAATTTTGGATACAAACAGTCACAGAGGAGTGAGCAGTTAGCTTTGACAAATTATGTTTGCTCTGGTGAAATCCATTGATTATCACTCATCATTAGGGGAAACAGGGCCACAACATGATTCGCTCAATCTTTTAAAGGGAACACAGAGCCTCCACTCTGCTTCTGACAGTAGGAATGCACAACTATAGAAATCAGCCAATTTACGTAGCACAGAGTAAAAGCAATAAAAAGAAAATACTACCTCATTGAAAAAAAAAATGAAATTATGTATGCAAAATGCTACGTAAAAATGCTTTTAAACTAAAAGGCAGAATCTCACAGCGTATTTTGTTTCGAGGAATAGAAATTGAAATCTAATTTGTGATTCTCAAAATTGGATGTTTAGTTATATTTTACTTTCCGTTTGTAAATCTGTCTGCAATTAAACCTAAGCATGTTATTGTCAACTTCTACATACAGTATGTCAGTATAACGAGTCATTGTCAAGACCAGAGTTTACCACTGGGTGTCATGATAGAGGCAAACCTATGACGTGTCCCCTGTGTAATTATAGCCACTGGCAATGATGCAGCATTTCCCCAGTTTCAGGTGGATGAGCAACTTAGGAGAAACCGGGCAGATCTAAGACGTAAATGTTGACTTGTAATTGATATTCTCCTCACAGGAAATTCTAAGAGTTTCTCCGATTGATTGGAAAAGCACAGTAGACTGAGGAAGCCTTAAAACACCTCCCCCTGAGCTCACCATGACTCAACACAGTGCGCAAAGAAGAGCAGAGGCAGAGTAAGCCATGAAAAAAAGGCAAAAAGGATAGGGCCTCATATCTGCCATATTGTGAGTGGCAAATTGTGGTGAAGATTCTCAGTCATCCAGGTCATAGTCATTGCAAAACAGTTGAAAAAGTTTTTTTTTTTGTTTATGTAAAAAACAAACCACTGAACTTTGTTTTCCAAGTTTGAAGATGTTTCACTTCCCATCCAGAAAGCATTTTCAATTCAAAATAACCCCCAGACCTAAGATGAGTGGAGGGGTGTATGCAGTTCAATGCAGTGAGAAATGCTCTTATCTTTAGAAAAAACCAAACAACCTTTCCACAGACGCATGGCTGTTCACCTACACCTTAAGGACAAAGGGAATTCATTTGAGGACCAGAATGCTCATATTGTGGACAAGGATTACAGGTGGTTTGAAAGGGGTGTGAAGGAAGCCATTTATGTTAAGAGAGAAAAACCAACCTTAAACTTAAGCGATAGAGTTGATTCCTTCCCACTATCATCTCAACCCCTATTGCTATGCAGGTGACCAAAACATCTCGCCTGGCCAGTCAGGCCAACAATGACCCTAACAACTTCCTTTTCAGAGGCATAGGTTAGTTTCGGCTATTGCCAGCTAACAAAGACCTCAACGAAGCCCATTCCTAAGGGGCAGACCTGTACTTCCGGTTCAATTTGCATGTTTTCTAAGCCATAACAAGGCTTTGTTGGGCCTATACAGCTTGGAACTCAACCCTAATCCAGACATTTTAAATTGAAAAAGCTTCCTGGATGGGAAGCAAAATGTATTCAAACTTGGAAAAGAAAGTCCAGTTGTTTGTTTTTTTTTAATCTTTTTTGGAGTGGCAAATTCAATTATAACATTGTTATGAAGACTTGAACACTCCCAGTTAAGAATTAGAGATATTTATGCAGCTATCTACATGGTGATGGAATTATTTCTGGGATTGCTTGCAAGAAACCCTAATCAATGAGTTTCACAAAAATAATTAGTGATGTCAATTTTCTTGTGATGACTACTTTAAATTGTAGTCATCCTTTCATATTTGTTTTTGTTGTTATTCTGCTATTTTTATGTTATGTTTTTTTTTTTTTTTTGTGGCTGATAAGACTGCACAAATGAAAACCAGCATATGAATGCATGGCTAAAAACATGGTTGAAAATCTCTCCTCCACTACAGATGACCTAAATACAAAGTGGAGCAGAAGAAATGGAAGTGTTTGCTGTGCAGAGGGGCTTGCCCTGTGTTGGAATGATACTCATATTTTGGTTTATATAGGACAAAGCCTGCTGGCCTAAATCTGTCGGCAAGTAACATCCACAGAAGTGTCTATATCTCACACATTATGCTGTTTTTCATGTAAACTTAGAGGAATTAGTGATGCAGCAAAGCCAACAGGACAGAGAAGATAATGCAACACAATTGACCAATTTTGTTATGTTGGACAAAATTTGCTATGACCTCTCTTATAAAGGGACAAGCTGCCTGAAGGGGGGGACAGCTCAGACTGATTATATGCTGTCACCAGGAAGGTCAGCATTGCCAAGATTAGATTAGTGGATAGACTGGGAATGTGAGTCATCAGGAGGAGACCAGTAACATTTGCTAAAAGATTAAGCAGCTAGAAATTTCACACCAAGTCAGATGATCTTCTTTCACACCCCAATTCCTTAAAGAGATAAACCAACAACTTAGCCACTTCTGTGAAAGTTGGGGATTCACTTTCCATGAACCTAAAGCATCGGAAATTGTTCAAATATTTTTGTTGAATGCTGTTTATTTGCAGAAGGATATTTTAAGGTGAAATTTATGTTTACTAAATGCAAATACATTAAGAAAGGTAAATATACCCAATAAAAAACTCTATTGATAACTTATATTAACTTAATTGATATTGGAAAATTTTATTTATTTATAGCACCGATAGCCTGACAACTTTTTAAAGCTCTCTTTTACAAAGTTAAGGTCAAAGTACAGGGTGTTTTGTGTTGCAGATGCAGCGGGGTGTGGTAATGTTGCTTTCTTTGTCTGTTTGATCATAAGTTTTGGATTTTCAGCAGAGATGTTTGTTATGCTTTCTTCAAGTCATATATCTTTATATCTTATTTTACACTGTTTGCACTTTTTATATGGGAAGGGTGTAATTTTACTGTGTGGGTTGGAACTTTACAAATTTTACTTATTTTATTCTGTCTCATTATACTATGCTCTATTGTACTCACAATGTTATTTTTCTCTCTTCTGTAAACAGTTGCACAGCAAGAAAACAATTTCCCGCAAGGATTAATAAAGTAATTCTGATTCTTTTTATGACATATCCCTTTTTAAAAACAAACTTATTCAATGCAATAATTCAAAGTTACTGAATGACATGGAAAACCAGGGTTTGCGTTTTTGACATCCACTAGCTCCCAACTAAGCTACATCTTTTCTGTATTTTTGACTCTTGCTGTTGCATAAAAACACAAGCAAACTGGAGGAGCTGCAAAGAACCAGAGCTCAGGTGGGATATCTGTCTACAGGATGATTTTTCTCTGGGCAAACTGTGAGGATGATTTTCTTTAGTATTAATAATATAGATGCTCAGTGTTGATAGATGGAGCTGAATAAAATACAGTCATTGTGTCCAAAGCACTGAATGCAAATCAGCAATGATACAAAGCTCTCCAGTTGTCTCAAGAAATGTATTAGGCTGTTTTTTGTGGATCTTCTATTTGATCTGATTGATCCTAAGCTATTTAGCAAAATGTAGATATATTTTTCGAATGTTAATAAGGAGATGTACCAAGCTGCTAAAAAAAAAAAAGAAGACCTCCACAGACTGTATGTAGACACAGGAAAGCTGACTCAGAAGGCCTGAATACAAAAGTAAATATTTTCATAAAGTGGTAGATTGGTTTGGATAAGTTTTCAAGTTTGTATACATTGCTCTAAGTTAAAATTATATAATAATAATAGCATAACTAACATTTTACTAATGGGGATTTGAAGAGTTTCCAAAAGCCCATGAGTCAATAAAAGATAAATATTTCTGTTGTTAACCAACCTTAAATGAACATTTTAAAATACACATAAAAACATTAGCAGACAAGAAACCAGGCAGAGGAAGAAAAAAACTCCACTCAAACCTTAAGTTGCTGCATTTGTGTTTATTGATGCCCTCATGAGAAAACAAAAGGAAATGAAACCAATAAGGTTCACAAAAACTGTGCCTCCAGTTATGCAAACACAAAGTTATCCCTCCACACCCTCAACAAACATACACTTCAATCTGTTTTAGTCAGTATGCACTCTATTAGGGACTGTTATTGTGACCACTTTATTATTCTAACACTTACCAAAATGTGCCTTGAGCAGAGAAACTCCAAGTGATACACCTTAAATATAATTAAATATACCTAAATAGAATTAGATAAACGTGTTTAAGTTTTTACATTCATTAACAGATAATCCTATGGGTCAGGATAGTAAACTTTACATAGGCCAACTAAACTCCCATCAAATAACAGACATACAAACTCACATTCTTTTAGAAACTTCTCTGCCACCTAAAATAGAGCATCTTATGAAATAAACAAATATGAGCCCATCTGATTACTATAACAGATATGTATAGGGGGCTGGTTCTGCACAAATCAAGGATAAACTTCTGTGTGTGCTTGCTTTAATAAGTCTGCCCTCAGGTTCTGAAGAGCAGCGCGGCAGTCACAGCTGTAAGAGCCACGGCAACCGCAGGCCCCCAGAGCATCCACGGCTTCTGAAACGAGCAACAAACCAGAGAAAAGAAACTGAGAATGACCAAATATAAACCTCCCATCAGAATATCACCCAAGTTCACACAGGGAGTTTGAAGAGATCAAGATGAAGCACACTAGATGGAAAAGAAAAACACAGAAAAGCTTTAGGATAAAAATAAGCACCATGTCAGCCAACTGGAACAGTTGTTAAGCGTTAGCCATTCAGACAGAACAAACAGATGTCAGATGTTGAAAGCTGCATGATTAGAGAGGTTAGATTTGTTAGACGACAGTTTCCATCTGAGGAGGGCATTCTGGGAATTGAGGAAAACCCACTTAAGTCATGCTATGATCCAAAATGCACGGATAGCAATGATAGATGTAGGACGGCTCGGCAGGAATAATGTGTACCTTACTACCACATTGCGCTGAAGCACCAAAACAGCAAAGCCAGGATAAGGCCGATGACTATGGCTTGAACAGGCAGCAAAAGGGGTGTCTACAGAAGGGAAGGGA